GGATCCGTTCGTTATGCTACTGAAATCCGTTTGAAGAGCTCATTCATCGAGAACTTGTAGAAGCAAGCCCCCCGCCAGCTAACATGTCCCTTCACGGCCCTCAATTTTCAGGTGACCCTGTACAAGGACTCTGACATGGAGGACTTCGGGTTCAGCGTGGCGGACGGCTTGCTGGAGAAAGGCGTGTATGTCAAAAACATTCGCCCCGCCGGGCCCGGTGATCTTGGCGGCCTCAAACCCTATGACAGGCTCTTACAGGTAAGACTGCAGGTGCAGTCTTCGCTCCTTGCAGCTGACTCCTAACTGGGGACTTCCTCCGGCTCGTGCTGTGCATCTAAGGCCCTCTGTGCTTTATTCCTTCAAGCCGTGCCATCAAGGTTTTGGCATGAGTAATAATGAGGAGCTGAGTAAAGAGTCAGCTCTTAGTAAATCCCATCCTAGTCCAGTTCTCTGATTTCTTATCAGTGTTTTGGCAGAGCTCAAAGCTCCTCTTTCCCAAACTAAAGCTTGTTACTGGCTGGGTGTGGTGGTGCACACCTGTAAGCCCAGCACGCAGGAGGCTGAGGCAGGACTGTTGCAAGTTCAAGGCCAGCCTGGGCTACAAAGTGAGTTCAAGCTCAGCCTGAAACCCTGTCTCAAAAAGACAAAAATAAATAAAGCTTATTACTCAGACCCAACCAGCCAAGGGCCGCTCACAAGCATCTCTGACGTATGTTACAACATCATCATTATGTAGTTATCTGACTCCAAGCCACCACCAGTCTACGCATTTCCTCCAGTCGTCAGCATGCCCTGCGAGGTCTCCTTCCGCCGCCAGTGTCCCATCTGGTCTCTCTCTTCATTTACTGTATTCCCCAGCCCGCTCTGGGCTTGTTTCAGGAACGCCACCCCCGCCTCCCTCCTGCCCGGCCTCCCGGAGTCCCATGACATCTGGAGGGCAGGCCTTGGCACACGTGTCCACGTGGCCTGTACTTCATGTAGGCTGGTAACTCTTGCCATTGACAGGATTATTCGTTATGACGGCTTGAGTCCCTGTACGTATTTCTCAGTAGATGGTGAACTACTCAAGAGCAGGACTCTCACTTGCCTTTGTAGTGTTTGATATCTCAGTGTCTCCACATCTGAAGCCAGAGAGCTGAACCTTAAAACTTAATGTGACATGTTCCACGGTCGGGCTTAGTTTCATTCAGCAAAGCAAATTCCAGATCTTAAGTAGTTTTTAGGGAGAGGATTTCGCAAGCCAAGGCGTGGGTTGGCACCAGTCTCAGAAACATACTCAGCTGGAGTGCGTCTTTCACCAGCCCCGATTCTCACCGCGGGAGGCTGATGTGGACAGACTGCCCTGCAGGGGTGACTCACCAAGGCAAGGTGTACTGACCAGGCAGTTTTAGTGCCAGTTCTGGGGGTTATGCAAGCTTGGCAACAGAATAATGAGGAGTTGTCCTAGGAGGTGGGCGATGCTTCAGTTTCATACACACTCCCATCCACACTGCGGTTCCAGAAACGGTGCCTTCCTCAGCTACAGACTGTACTGTCTACTTTCCTGAAAGCTGAAGCTGTAAACAGAGACTGGATCCAGATTATGAATCCCTTGAAGGCCACAGAAAAGTCCTCAGACTTTACCCTGGAGGCACAGTAACCTCTTAGGCGGAGAATGACATAATCTCTCACACAGAAAGGCAACAACGTGCTCTCATAGTCTAACAGGGACAGGGGGGGACGGGGAAGATCCAGGTCACGGAGGCCCAGCAGGTGTGGCCCGCTGTCCCAGGTCTGTCGTGTGTGCACCAGCTTCAGTCTGTCCTTGCAAAGCACTCTGGCAGGAAGTCAGCAGGCTGGTCTGTTGCTCGTGAGAGAAGTTAGAGCTGGAGCCAACAGATTCAGACACTGACGGTATGGATTTACATAAACTTGGTCCTGGTGAGCTTAAAAGGAAGAAAGAGGAGAACCATGACTGGAATCCTAACAATAACAACGTGCAAAGAACAGGAAACAACAGTGGCAGAACGGTATTACAAGGCGAACAATTACAGTGCTAAGGGATCACAGAGTGGTATCACAAGAACCAGCTGGACTGACAGTCCCCAGCTGTAGGTCAGCCAGCAACCCTGTCCTACCAGCAAGTGAAGGACGGCCGATGTGGACACTCACAGTGAGCCTTTTACTGGGTATTTCTTTTACCTGGCAGATGGCCTCATGCCTAGTTGTCTCACAACTAAGGGCTCCCTCACTGGAGACTTATGTGGGCAGAGGTCCTTGGAGTCTTACTTGACGCACGACCAACTTATGCCTGCCAAGCTGTCATCCACCCTTTGGTTCTCAGGGAAAGCGGGGGCAGCCCCTATTTCCCCCCATGCAGGGAGCAAATCGAGTGCGGCACCGCCAAAGTTCAGAGTGTTCTCTTGTAGATCCAGGACAGGGAGGGCACCATGAGGCAGGAGGGCAGTCCTCTGTCTCCAGGTCACACAAGATGAGAGAGGAAGAGAGAAAGAGGAAGAGAAACACAGCCACTAGCGCACACACAAGAGGAAAGGCTGTGGATCATGTTAAGTTTCAGAGCCAATGTGTGAAGGACCTCTATAAGAAAGGGTGGGAAAAGCAGGGAAACTAGGTGGCTGGCAGGAGAGAAGCTTCTACATTCTTATCTCTGGCCACTGGCTTGGGCCTTCGGATGTATGTTCTACCTCCAGAGCCCAGGCAGCAGCCCTTGCTGTATCGTTCTGATACACGAGGGAGATCTTGAAGCACCAGTAGGTGTTGAGAGCAGCAAATACCAATGGCCGAGGAGGATGGGAGTCCTGACCACGGCTGGACAGGACGCTGGTGTCACTGCCAGCTGCCCAATCTACACGACAAGCCCAGGACCTCAGGGGATGGAGCAGAGAACAAAGAGTCAGGGAGTGCGGGCAGAACACATGATTTTAGAAACGTTGCTGGTGAGGGAGGCGGGAGATGAGCACGTGGAAGGCGGGGAAGGGCCCACGTTGAAGCGGGTAATTCAGCCGTGGTAAAGGGCTTGGCCTGGGGAAGCAGCCGCACTGCCCAGGACGATGCTCTAGCTCCTCTCTTACCAAGTGGTAGCCAAAGGCAAAGCGCTAACCCACTCCAAGCCTCACTTTCTCCAACGTGAAGAGGGACGACATCCAGGAAGACAACACCCGCAGGGCTACAGCCTTCTACGCGGCACGAGCATGGGAGGGTGTGCGCTGCTTCTGCTGCTGCTCTTCAGGGGTAGGGTCTAGCAGCAGAGTGATCAGTGAGCCCGCAGCCTTCGCGGTAGAATCGTGGCAGCAGTGCACCGCCTTGCGCAGGGTGTACGTTTCCCCAGCTTGCTGTGTACTGTGCACACTGGGGGACTTCGGGGTTACGGCTGCAACAACACCCCACGTTCATTCTGACCCAGCACCCACAGTGCCTCTTCTCGGCTTTCAGGTCAATCACGTCCGAACAAGAGACTTCGACTGCTGCCTTGTCGTGCCCCTCATCGCCGAGTCGGGGAACAAGCTGGACCTGGTTATCAGCAGGAACCCACTGGCTTCCCAGAAGTCCATGGACCAGCAGGCGCTACCGGGAGGAGACTGGAGTGAGCAGAACAGCGCGTTTTTCCAACAGCCCAGCCACGGCGGTAACCTGGAGACGCGAGAACCCACTAACACATTATAGCAGCACTTTCATAAAGCAGGACGAAAGACGATATCTATGGTGCTAAAAATCCCTTCAAGATTTCCGTGCCGTTTGAGGCACAGATAATCGTGTGGCATTAAGTGCAAGCACCGGGGTCTTTTCAGTCTCTCTCATGGCTCACGTTCACTTCCCCTTTCCGGTCGAGGAGGCTTCTTTTGTGGTGACCACCCTGGTATGGCGGGCAGATCCCTGCCAGGCCCAAGGGTAGAGGAGAAGAGAAATAGGCTACCCCTCCCCACAATGACCATCAGAGGAAATTTTGTACAAGTTTCATCTTACTCTCTCACTTTTTGCAAAGAGAACTGTCTGTTTAGAAATATTGTCTAAGATGATTTCCTTAATTCACTTTGAAATCAGTTTCTTACTATGAGATCATTAATGTAAGAATTTGGCTAACACGGTTTTTCTTACAGCTGGCTCTCCTAGGAGAACTAGTATTCGGTAAGCTGCCGGGACCGCTGCCATGAGGGGGGTACAGGTATCAAATCAAGTTCGCTTCAGATGCACGCAGGAGACCGTAATAGGTGGAGGTAAATGTTTTGCCCAAATATAGGAATGATTTTCACTAAGATGTATGCTATTCCCTATGCAACAAATTATCAAACAGGATATGTCTTGTGACCTGTTTTTTTAAGGACACATTTTTTAATAGCTGAAAATCTCTGACAACGAATTAGTGTGTAGTAACACTGAGAATTAGCTATCCTATTTTTAAAATTCCAGTTTAAGCATTTAAGAGAGAATGAAGAGTCTCTTAAAATGAAGCTCATCGTAATGCTAGGCAAATCAAACTCATACTGCTTGAGATGTTTAGAAAACTGGTACTACTGAGGGGTCTTCAGCACATGTACTTAAAAATGACACGGGACTGTCTTTTGTTCTGAGCCATGCCACGCATCAAAACTGTAAATACATTCTTCACAAAACGCATTGCCAATTAGTACCATTCCTCAAAGCAATAAATCGTGACAGTTGCGTTTCTTGTTTGCCCGCAACTGTTTCCTTCTGTTCAGATAGTTTGAATAGCTACACAAATAATTGTTATTTAATAAATATTAAAAAACAGATCTGTATATTGACGGTAGGATGTTGAAACAATTATTTTCCAAACATTTTCATTTTGGTGAATAATTCGAGCAACCATTTAGGCAAAGCACTTAAAACACTGTGTCCTTTGTTTAAAGAAAAGGCTCACCTTTCTTTTTGTGCAAAAATAAGTAAATAAATAAATAAATAAAATTCAATCACACGTCAGAACCGCCAGGGCAAGAAAGTATAAAGCTGAGTCATGTTAAGGAAAAAGAAAAGATCATGAGTCACTTAAATATGTATTTTTATTTGTAACAAACAAGTATTAAACTGTAAAGTATTTTTGTACAAATTTAATACTTTAATAGCATGGTATTTATCGTCTATGTATGGTTTTGGGGAATTCAAAATTGTTGCAAATATTTGTATGGAAAAAAGTCCTCTACCAAATGGAATAAACAGTGATTTTAAAAAGCTTAAAAAAAAAAAGGGAATGCAGTCTCGATGCACTGAATACATTCACTACTCTAGCCTGAGTTCTACACAGCGTTTACGCAGTTCTCCACCAGGGGGAGGAGGGGAGGTTTTGCCATAAAACTAGAAAGCACCGTGGAGAAGTAGGAAGAGGACGGGCTTCGAAAGCAGATCTGGATTTCACTTCCGGCCCTGCTGCTCACTGGCAGTACGACATTTACCCACCAGGAGGCAGCTCCCCCACCTGTGACACTAGAAGTCGCCTCTGCACTGCAGGGCTGCTGTCAAACAACACGACAGACTGGGTAACCTGGGCTGGGAGTCCCATATAGGCACACCCCAGAGGTACTGTGGGTTTGGTTCCAGACAACTGCAATAAAGAGAATATGACAATAAAGTGAGTCACATGAATTTTGTGGTTTCCCACTACAAATAAAAGTTCTGTAGTGTGCAGAAGCATTATATCTATCCATATAAAATCACAATTAAAAATACTGTATGGCTAAAAACTGCTATTTTCTGAGCTGTTGGAAAAATGATGACAAGACTGCCAAAAAAGTTCAATTTACACATAACAGTAGAGCTGAGAAGCACAATCAACGAAGTGCGATAAAACAAGGCATGCATTCATCGAGGAGCTGGGGTCTGGCCAGGGCAACCTGCTTCATGGCAGAAGGAAGGGGAGACGAGATCCGGAGAGAACAGGAGAGGGCAGAACTTGCTTTTTATCAGGAACCCACTGCCCCCGTTGCTAACCCACTCAGGACCTCAAGGACCTCAAGGCCTCAAGGCCTCAAGGACCTCAAGGCCTCACACGAGGCCCCACCTCCCAACACCAGGGCTTGGAAGTTAAGCTTCCAGCGCATGAACTTGGAGAGACACAAACCACAGCACCATTTAACAGTAAAAATTTAAAATCAAATAGTGAGAACTAGTCCCCATGTGGGATACGTTCACAAAAATGCGTCCAACTCAAAGGGATGTCCAGGAAAAGTCCCAGGTGTGCGGGGCTTCAACAGCAGTGACACAGGGAGAGGAGACCTTGTACATGAGCAGGACACCCTGAGTGTGTGCCAATATCAACAGGCAGCTTACCGCTGCCACTGCTTCTGCCCACTGGCAAAGAAACCAACAATGATCATGGACATAAAACATCATCCTAAAGAAGTATAGTGTACTTGAAAGTACAAGGGTGTTTCTGAACACACTTTTTCTTTTTTCCCCCCAGTTGTATACAATACTACCAGTTCTCACAATGATAGATGTTGAAGTCATCAAGATTCTGTTTGATCAAATCAATTTAAAACATCTTCTAAACACAGCTGTCTTGAAGTAAAAAGTCCAATTTATAGGGATCTTCCCTCATCTTGAAACTCTGAGGCTAAAATGTCCTTTTGTTTTTAAAGGAAAATAATTCATGATTACTTTGAGCAATCCGAACTGAAATCTTCTTCATTGTCTGTGGGCTGGAAAAGTTGCTTGGGGATTAATCTATTTAGCCTCAAATTCCGAAGTTTAGAAGATACTTGTGGAGATGGTTCTTGCACCTATTAGAACAATAATAAGAAGAAAGTCACTTGGATAAGAATATACTCAGTCCACCCTATGTGCTTCTATTCCCTTGAACTCTTTCTGAAGAAGAAATAATACATTTCTCTCAGACCCTGAAAGGCCAGGGCAACCAGAACAACATGCGGTAGCTTCTTCAAGGGTTATGCCTCTTCTGGCACACCGTGCGTCTGCAGCACTCGGTGTGGGTCTGGCATGTAGAAGTAACCATTTACTAAGTAAGTACATGCATCTAACTTTGAAAGGTATGGTCAGGGTTTGCTTATAATCTGGGAGTCCAGTACAAAATTAAAACGAAGACTCCTTGTTCAAACATTAAAACTTTCAAGATGGCTACCACAGTACTATAAAGTGATTTAAACACACATGGGTCCCAAGCACACAGTCCTGCACAACTGCCTGGGCTATGTGCCCATTAACATGGCTCTGTATGTGGGAGGGTGAAACGCCCCAAGGCATCATGTCCTCCGTATCACTAATGATTCCCAAGCACCACTCAACAGGCTAGCATGGTCATGAAGTTTCACCATCAGGGAAAATGAGGAAAATGAATGGTTTCTCTTCCCACTCAAATACGTTCATTTTACGGCACGGTGGTAGTTAACCTCATGTGTCAGTGTGGCTAAAGCCGCAATACCCAGATGTCCAGTCACATATTCTTCCAGGTATGTGTGTGAAGGCATGTTTTAGATGAGATTAACTTTTGAGTCAGTTAACTTGCGAGTACAGTAGATTAGCTACTCTACTGTGGGCCTCATCCAATAAGTTGAGGGCCTTATTAGAAAACAGACTGTCCTCCCCCAAGGAAAAAGGAATTCCACCAGAAGACTGCTCTCAGACTCTATTTCAGCATGATCAAAATTTCGTATTTGACACTCTATACAGTCACATGAGCCAATTCCTTGAAACGAACTCCATTCTGATAGATATACAGACAGATATTTATATCTAATGGTTGTCTCCCTGGAGAACCTTAGTTAAGATAAGGACTGCCCTTTATTCAGAAATTATCCGACCATGCCCTCCCTCATTTTTATGTTAAAATGTGATTGTTTTTAAATTCTGGAAATCACTGATTTATATGATACATTTTAACAGTATTTATTCATATGTTTTTATTAGAGGTATACTTCTGTTTTCCTCTTTTTTTCCAGGAGTGGGGTAACCAAGCAAAATATCAGACATTTTCTTGAAGGAGTTTTTCCAAAACTTAAAACCATGAAGCCATTGAAAAGAACAAAAACTTTCATCTGGGAGGGACTCTGTCATTTAGTACAGTCATAGGCCCCCTAGTGACATTTCAGTCAACAAGAAACTATAGATTAAGATTATAATGGAGCTAAGAAATGCTTGTTAGCGAGTTCAAGGCTTTACTCAAGTGTTTTTGGTGATGCTGATGTAAACAAACCTACTGCACTGCCAGTCATGAAAGCATAGCACACACAACTATGTACAGGACATAATACCTGAAAATTATGTTATAGTTATGCATTTACCATAGTTTTACTGTTATTTTAGAGTGCCGTCCTCTACTTACAATAAAAAGTTTACAGTAGTCTGCTGTGTGACACCAACAGCAGCCTCACGCATCTCACTCTTATATTTCCTGAGTCCTGATTACATTAAGAGGCCACACTGACTGACCTGTACCCCCTACACTGGTATAAGGACACTGATATTTACAAAACAACAAAAAACTGCCTAACGATGCACTTCTTTGAACTTATCTTTGAATTGTAAAATTTCTGTCTTGTTTTTGATTGGCTGGTGGTTTTGCAGTACTGGAGATCAAACCCAGGGGAACTTTATCACCAAGCTAGCTCTCCAGCCCTCTTTTAATTTTTTTTGTTTTGAGACAGGGTCTCATTAAGTTGCCCAGGCTGTCCTCAAACTTGCAAACCTCTCACCTTAGCCTCCTGAGGAGCTGAGATGACAGGTGTGCGCCACCACATCGGGTTCAGCATTTATCCTTATAGTAAACAATGCACAGTGCATCGGTGGAATAGAAATGCTGCTATGGCTCTTAGACAGCATTGTGAATGTGAAGGAAGGGTATGTGACCAGCCCTTCTCACTGGACCTGTCGATGCATCAGAAAGTCTAGAATTCTGGAAACTCAGAACTCTCTACTTTATCAATCCTAAATCTTTGGATTCTTGATTTCCTTATTTCTAGGAATTCCTATAGATGTGACATACTTTTCACAAATGCTGTGAGAAAACACAGCCTCTTCCATTAGAGAACTTTGTGCTGCTTCTACCATGCAGTGACATCAGCTAGCCCTGAATGAACCCCCAGTGTCAATTTTGTGTTCATGGACCTATAATATCAGCCTCAGTCACAGCTTGAAAGCTCTGGAAGGCTCCGAACTATCCTCTCTTGGTACCATCATGTCAGACCATATCCTCTACCCCACAGTGGGGCTCAGAAATACAACACCAGAACTTTTTTAAAAGTCTGTTTCTTTGGAATTGCCTCTTTGTTGCTCAGGCCAAAAGTCTTCCTCTAGGGTCTTTGCAAGAAAAAACAAGTTTCAACTGGGCATAGTGGCACAAGCTTGTAACCCCAGCACTTGAGGCGATCACTGACTTTGCAGCCAGACAAGGCTAATCTGGATTATAGTGAGACCCTGGTTCAAAAGCAAAAAGAAATAAAAAGTTTACTTTCAGAAACCAATGCGTTACTAAGATGGAAATTCCACACCGAACAGTTGATCTGGGGTGGAGAATGAAGTTTAGAGTCAATGGGGAGACAATGGAGTAACCCTTCCCCACTGTGCGCACGTCTGACCCTTTGCCCACAAAACCGCTCGCCTGCACTCTTCTCCCAGCCCTCACCATTGCTGCCAGGCTCCACCCGTATGCCCTGTCCAGGGCCTGAAGTCATCCTGGCCCCGACTCCAGCAGCACATAACTCATCACTAGGACTGATCAACTGTCCTTTAGCAGCTCTTCCCCATCCCATGGCTAGCACCTGACTACTGAAAGAATCTGGGGAACTCGGCCCCCGTCTCTTCCTAACCACTATCCACGCAACTGCAGGCAAGGGCACCTTAAACCTTAATCCACAGAGCACTTAAACAGCTTCTACCGTGCACTGCAATGAGAAGAACGGAAGAATCTCTCCAGCAGACCCGTCCGTCCTCCCTAACTACGCCTGCATCCTCAGCCCCGCCTTCCGTTTGCACCCTGCGCTCTGGCCACTGTGTTCTTCGCCTGCAGCTGCCTGTCAGTGTTTCATACGCTGACCCACGACACGCAGACTCTGAGAACGGATCAACTGCCGCATTCCTAGCTGGGGACAGAGCACAAGATAAGCCCTCCTCCTCTCAGCCCACAGGGAGCAGGGCTCCGCCCTCTGCGCTCCTGTCTTTACTACAGCCTCAGAAGCAGGAATGCTCGGCAAGTGTCTTGGTGGCATGTTACGAAATTCTTGAGCTTCTGCTGGAGTGACACTTGGAAGTTAATTTATAATCCTACGTGTCTACTTGCACCTGAAGCACAGCCTGGCACAGGAGGACTCTTCCTGTGCCCCAGACAAGTTCTCCTTGTGACTTTCCCATCTCAGGAAATTATCCTCTTATTCCCCACACTGTTTCAGCCAGAAATACAGGAATCTCTCCGGGTTACTTTCTCTTTTTGCCTCTTACATCTAGTGAGCAAGTGGTACAGACTGCATCTTCAAAAGGCAAAAGCGAAAAGAAAGAGATGAAAAAAGGCTTGGTGTATTTTAGTGGAAGAAGACATGAGCTGCACTAGAGTGAGAAATGGAATGATGCTGGGGAGGCAGAAATCAAACTGAAAAAGGTGTCAAACGTCAAGCCGCGCAGTTTAGAGTTGGAGTTGTAGGTACCAGGCAACCAGTGAAGGTAATCTGCTGACAGTGTGTGAGGTGTCTTAGGAGAATGGTGACAAGGCCGGGAAGGACGGCCAGGGCATCAACCACCCGAGATCAGACACGGACGTAACACAGGGCGGACGAGACAGAAGGGAGAAATTTCCTGAGGAAGCCATTTTGCGATAAAGCCGCCTGAAGCCAGCAGTGAAAGGCCCAGTGAGCCCAGGTGACTCAAGACTTCAGCTGGGTAACCAGGAGGACAGTGACTGAAATGGGGAAACCGGAGCGCACAGTACGGTGTGGGCTGAGGTTCTAGGAAAGCCCTCCTCTGGCAACGCAGGCTCGGGCTAGGGAAGGTGTGTCACTGCTCTCCGCAGCACAGCGTTCGGGGATCACCGGGTTCCTTGCACAGACGTCTGTCTGCACCACCAGCGCGAGCGCAAGCGTGACAACTGTCACTTTCGTTCCCAGTACCTGGAATGTCACCGAGTTCAGACTCTGGTGCACAATCAGTGGTACAAAGAGGGGGGCTGAAACTAAGGTATCTCCAGATGTGTGGGGCGCGAGGAAGTGAAGGGGAGAGGTCACTGTGGGGGAGTGCTAGGCTGCCTATCACTGTGACCAAAGGAAGGAGACCCTGAAACCGCAGCAGAGGTAAAACTATCGATGGAGGGGAAGCAGGCGCTGGGTGCACACCTGCAGCCCCGGCACTCTAGGCAGCTAAGGCGGAAGGATCGTAAGTTTGAGTTCAACCTAGTCAGGTTAGCAACTTCGAGCCCGTCTCAGAATCTCAAAAGGCCTGGGGATGTTTCTCAGTGCAGATGTACCAGGTTCAGCTCCTCAGTCTGCAAGGGGAAGAAAAAAATCCTAGAGAAAAGATAAGAACAAGACCTAAGAAAAAGGCCCTTGAAGTTGACAAGAAGAACCGGCAAGCCATTTCCATGAAACTGCGCGGACAAAGCAAGATCAGGGCCTGTGAAGCAGGGGCAAGCGGGGAGGGAGGCAGAAAGGGGAGACTCCGGTAGGAACGTGCACGCTGACAAGGAGCTTTCTCGGCAGGTCAGTTCCATCAGTCCCTGGAGGCTGCCCAGAGGGGGGAGACGTGGGCTGGGATCAACCGAGCACGGGAGAGGGGAAGCTGGGCAGCGTTCCGAGTGCCACAGCACAAGGTAACACGCACGGAAGTGCAAGCTCACTCGTAAGCACAGGCAGGTTGGCGACCCTGAAATAAAACCGAGCACATCTGAGCATCACTCCTACCTTGAAAGCTTTGTTTGGGCTGTCACAGTTGTTCACTGCAGAGGTTCTTTTGGACCCTCGAGATGGTGATGAATCCTCATCTGTGTCTATTTTATCACAAGAAGGAAACCCTCTAGCAGGGGTGATCATCCTGTAGGTCTGGCTCTTGGCAACATCATCTGAGACGCTGATGGTTGTGTCGTTAGGGAGGGGTGCTGCCGGCAGGCTGGGTCCTGCGCTGTCCCCAGAGCTCACCGGCTGGGATGGACAATCTGCTGGCGAGTCGCATCTGGTAGAGAGCTCACTTTGCAAGAAATGTTTCAGACGCGTTTGCCTGAGAAGGTTCGGTCTCCTGACTGCGCTCTGGAGCTGAGACTCTTCCGCAATGACGTACACTCTGCAGCGGCCCCTGGTCACGGCCGTGTAGACGTGCTGCCAGTGCTGGCGGCCTGCCTTCCCCACCACGTAGGCGACCGTGTGCTCCTCCGACCCCTGACAGGCAGGAACACAGTGTGAAGACCAAGGGCGCCCACATCTCACGAGGACAGTCCTCACCGTGTTCTCACGCGCCCTCTGCCGGGCCAGCACATTCACACGGAACCGTCCGAGGGGTCTATGTTATTCCTGAGCTCAGATCCCACGCCTGCTCAATACAGTGCCAACAACTCTCACAGGGCCATAAGCGGGGCCATAAGCGGCTTTCAGAAACTAAGCAACGCAGACTTTAAAGACTGCATGCAGTGCTAAATTTTCCCTCATCCAGGACTTTAGAATGGCTGTATGGACTTTATATGTAAAAAATGTTGTCCTAATATTCCTTATAATGGCAAAAAAGGATTTCTCACATATCTAATGACATATATATATACATACATATATCATTGCCTTTATATGTCTATATATATATTTGAGTTTGCAAATATCAAAGATACTTTCAAAATATAACAAAATTTTAAAAGCTGAATGCTATACATAGAAAATGGCCACATTATTTAACAAGTTACTCTGATCCAATAAAGTACATAAAGCTGAGTGTGGTGGCGCACGCCTGTGGTCCCAGCACTCGGGAGGCTGAGGCAGGAGGATCATTGCAAGTTCGAGACCAACCTGGGCTACAAAGTGAGCTCAGGGCCACCCTGAACTGCATAGTGAGACCCTGTCTCAAAAAGACAAAAAACAAAAAGTACATAAAAACATAAATATATACCATAAAATAAAAAAGGAAATTTTATCAAAATTTTAATGACTATCTGTAGGGATTATTATTTCGCTTCTGCTGTATTTTCCCATCGTTGACTCACTTATTAATTCTATCAAGATGTACAATTAACCCTTTTTTTTAAGTTCAGCAAACTGAGAATCGTGAAGGCAAGAAAAACACTCAGTGTGTCCAGACCACAAAGACACAACTGCATGTTCTGGAGCCATTTGCAGTTTTGAAGACAGCAAAGTCAGGGGCAAACAGCTACAGAAGCGGCCGGAACCGCCGTCTCCTCCTCTCACCCCTCCAAAGGGGAGCTGCGGGAAGGCAACGAACAGGACAGGGTGTGTGAGCAAAACAGACCCATGGAGAACCTGCCCCCGGTCAGCTCTTTATCCCGTTAGAGAACGTGAGCCGCGTCTTCAGACTGTAACAGTTTGATCAATACTTCCTTCCAAAGCTTCTGGCCCTCAGAAATGGACTTCCACGACACCTGGTTCTACAAACATATTTTATGTACATGTGCCACTTCCCTGCCTTAGGCTTTATGTCATGTACTCCTAAATACATCCACATCCACCTAAACTTAGTCAGCTGAGCAATACTGACAGCAACAGCAGTAACAGACAGGAGCAACCTCGTAGCCACTCTGCCTCGCGCACCTGCCCCAGTGCAGCACCCTCACAGCAGCCGCAGGGGTGCTGCCACACTGCAGGTCCAGTCACACTGAGCCTACTTACGGCCTCTCCGAGGCTCCTGCGTTCTCGAGGTGAAGGCCTACCCCCTCAGAGCGCCCCTAAGGCCCTCCAGGAGCTGACCCGAGCCCTGACCCCCTCTTGCCTACTCCCCTGCTACGGTCTGTGTGTGGGTGTCCCCCCAAAGCCTCATGCAGTCATGGGTGGGCTCCTAGAGTTTGTGTTCGATCCATGGTCCAATGCTGGGATTACGGGTGTGAGAGCTACGCCTGCCGTAGGGCAGACAGTTTGCATATGTAAGGGAGGGAAAGAGCCTGCCTGCCGCCCCTCCTCCCTTTTGCTCTTGCTGCTTTTGCTGCTGTTGCCCTCTGCCATGGGCCACTCTGCCTCGGAGCCAGCCGAGTCTGGACTGAAAGCTCCACAGACTGTGAGCTAAATAAACCTTTCCTTCCTTAATTCTGGGCGTCAGGTATTCTGTCTCAGCAACGAGAGAAAAGCAACCAAGACATCCCCCTATCTTTCCCATGAGCAGGGCTCCATCCCAAACAAGGGAACTCCTTGAGGTGCTGTCAGTGTCCTTTGGTCCATGGCCAGCACCAAGCCCATCTCGGGGTCCGCTGCTCACCTATGTGCTTCCCAGCACCCTCTCCTTCCTCTTCCACCGACCTGTAAAAGCCCTGGGCTCTGTGAAGGCGGACCACATGTCGCTGGCCACCTGCTCCTTTCCCCTGCCTTTGTTTTTCCTCTCGGCATCATTTCTTTTTCTTTTTAAAAACACTTCACTAAATGATACGCATTTCTGTAAGACATTTCAAATTTTTTGAAACTGAGAGGAGGTATGTTAATAAATAAAATACTATCCACTTTTTTAAAAAGCACCTACGCTCATTAATGTGTCCACTAACAGAAGATAATAGCTGATCTAAATTTCTCTGCATAAACATAGAGGCTGATACAACCTTCCCACTGAAACAGCCAGTAGCAGAGAGGGAAGCTCAAAGTGGTGAGATGAATAACAGGGCCACTACATGCTTACCAAGATTCAAGAGCATGAAAGGTCAAAAGCAAGTTATGCTAAATGTAACTTACAAGTTACACTAAATCTAAGTGTGGTGTCACGAATTAGATCTGAGAACAGAAAAACATCATTAGGGAGGACTCAGGTGAAATCCAAACACAGTACTCACTATGCGCTGTGCTACGGACAACAGCGGTAGTTTCTCAGCTCTTGACAAATCTACCACGGTCACAGAAAATGTTCCCACTGGGGCACACTGGGTAAAGGGTGTGCTGTGCTATCTTTCCAATTCTTCTGCAACCCTAGCATCAGGCCCAAATAAGTTTAAAATGATAAAAAAGAGGTTGCCTCACAACCCTTTCTTCTCTACCTTTTTTGGAGGGAATTGGTACATTTTTTAAAAATTGCTCATCTTTATAATTAAAATCCATATGAAGAGTATATTCTACACAAAGCTGAGTAAACCAAAAATTAAAACCAAATGACACTGGATTGTACAAAAGCAAAATACACTTTATATGGCTATGCTACTTCTCTCCCTTCTGCCAAAGTACAGAAACATGGTATCCCTTGTTTAAATACGGGAAGATTACATAGAAATTGTTCCTGTAGGAAAAGAAGTGATATGCAACAGATACAGGACACAATCACTTCCTGGGGAAGGCGAAAAGCAGGTCTGCGATTACTCAGCTACAAAATGCAACGGGTGACAAGGAAATCAGAAATCAAACAAATATTTCAATGTAACACTATTATTCATTTATTTAGCAGTGCTGGGAACCGAACCTAGGTCCTTTACACTGAGCCACACACCAACAGATTTTAAATTTTTTATTCTGGGGGTTCTTGCTGAGTTGCTGAATGGCCCCTGAGAGGCCCAAACTTACAACTCTCCTGCCTCAGCCTCCCAGAGCACTCAGATGGTAGGTAGGCACGTGTCATTAAGTCTGGTTCTACATAATGTTTTTAAGAATCAAAAATAAGGCACAAAAATAAGGCACCAAATTCTACATAAAGACAAAATCAGGACACGCCCACTACGCTCATTAATATGTCACCCTCACACCAGGCCGTGCTGGAGACTGAGGCAGGGAGGGGAGGGCCAGAGCGACAAGGCTATGGCTCTAATGTCTTCGTTCCTGAAAGTAAGGTGCGCTCCAAAGCAAAAAGGGCAAAAGAGTGGGATCTCTCTGCTATTTCTGTGCTCCTGAGCACTTTGCTTTCTAAATAACAAACAGTAAAACCAAAGGTTAGGAATGAAGCTTAGTGGTAAAATACCTCAGTGGCCAGCACGAGGCCTGTGTTCACTTCCCCTCCATCGCAAACAACAAAAATAATCATGCAACAGAAGTTTAAAAAGAAAACACGGCAAAGTACTGTACGGCTTGGCAAGCTATTGGACAGTCAGAAAAGTCCACTCTTACCTGGAAAGTATGAATAGTTCTTGCCCACGCGTGTTTTACGTGACAGTATCTCATCAGTTTCCTGAAATCCACAGTTACTTCCAAGCCAGCCATGTTACTAATCGTCAGAAATCTTCTCTTCCCAAAAGTCACATCCGTTGTGTCCTGCCATCGAAACAAAGAACTACTTTGCAGTCTTCAAATATGCACACAGTAAAGATGTCCTGTCTTTGGGTTGGAAATAAAATGCACCTGTATTACAATTACGAACTTCAAGAAGCTCGGGGTGGGGTGGGGCTCAGTGTACACTATGAGTCCAGCATGCATCGGGCCATAGCTTCTATCTCTCGCACCACCAAAACAATAATCATAAATTTCCAGAGGCTTAAAATCTATACTGAAATGACCATCTCAACACTGAAATATAAACACCAAGGTTTTCCGTCCTTCAAACGTCACAAAATACAAGGTGTGATCAAAGCATACAGTGAATGTTCCATGGGCTCCAGTTTATTGCCGGAAGACACAATCCCCCGCAACATAATGCTGTGTCTTCAAGCACATTTATCCCACCACCGTTGCCACTTTCTGAAGCAGCTCTGCAAGTCCTCTTGCACGAACCTCTTTAGTTGTGCTGACCCAGGTGCCTCAATGCCCTAACTCAGTGATGGCAAACCCTTCAGAACTTGCAATTAGAAACAACCCACTGCAGCACACGTGCCGCAGGTCCACTGCCACTTTCCTAAATAGACTCAAAACTTCACTCTGCATGGTCATTTCGACTTTAGGGAAGAGCTGAAAGTCACATGGTGCCAGATCCAATAATTAAGGTGAATAAAGACCCACTGCAATGTTGTTACTGATAGAAACTGCCATTCCAGAAGCAAGGTGTGCCAGTCCAGGAGAACTGTCATCACTGCACGATGGAGGATGAAATTATTGGCCCATTTCTCAGGCCATTTCCTACACGCATCATTTCCAAAAAGTTCTAGTGAGCCCTTAAAATACTCAGAGTTCACAAGTGCTTCTGGATACAGACTCAGCTCACATAATTTCATCAAGGAAAAAACACAAGCAACATCACCCTCACGCTAAGTCTTGATTGGTATGCTTTTTTTCACGCAAGAATTGGGTGATTTTCATTGCGAACTCTAAGCCCTGTCTCAGGATCATACTCACAAACCAAAGTTTCACCACCCATGCCAACATTTTTTTTAAAATCTAGAATCTGAAGCAGGATAGTACCATTCCAATGAAATGCACTGTTCATAATACATGATTTATAGCACACTCTAAAATACACCTTCTCTCAACTTCAGCGCACAGCAGACGGACTGCACAGAGCAAGCTGAAACCCGTCATACAGTTACTGCTGCTTCTCGTATAAAAGATCCATAGCACTTGGCGGCAGCATACACTATTATTTTTTATCACACCTTGTATTTTTCCACATAGCTTTTTAAGAATATTATAAATTTAGGATGGTACCTACACAGCGAGAACAAATACAAAGCCATCTCCTCCACAGTTTCTGCATTTAAGCTACAGCGAAGGAAACAATCACTTATGCCTTATTTTTCCTGACCCAAGCACTTCATACTTATTAAAAATGTTCCTCACAGTCTTTCAGAAAAAAAGAATTACTTCACCAATTCTCAATCATTCCAGCACAATTCTGATAACAGAACCAGAACTTATTAAAAAACTACAAGCCAATATCCATCATGAACATGGACATAAAAATCCTTAAAAAGAAAACACTGAACAACAGTGTCACCCCTTGTATGATTAACTTTTGAATCAATTATGGAACAATAAACAAGTATCTTTCAATTGGTACAAAGGTATCGTTTTCTGACACTTACATTTGTTATGAAAAATATCTCTCCATTACATAGTCGAATACCACTTTCAAGTTCATACTTGTTTTTAGCAAAATCATGAGGAGTACCACAAAAGCCTTCACCGCTGGCCTGCAGGTCACTACTTGGCTGAGTTGCAGAAGGACTTTCAGGAAGTAAGTCTGAGAGGTAAGCATTCTTGGTACAACAAATTTTATCACCAACTCCAAATATGAGCCTCTTCCGGTGATCTCTAGGTTAGAAAGTGATAATACATCATCAGACTTGGAAAATCTCAATTTCATTTGGTTTAAACTCTCACGCAGATTCAACCCAATTATCAAAATGATTGCCACACTTCTGTGTATCACTTTGGTTCTCCAAAGATCAACAAGAAATCCGGCTCTCACATGCGACATTTGCTTATTTATACACATGTTCTGAATCAACTCAAACTCAATAACATTTCCCAGCTAAATTTCGTCATCATCAATTCTGATATAAATGCTCTTTTCCTCCCTATTTTGAAAAGGTATCAACCTTACTGATTTTTTTCTGCAAATTTATCATCTCTCCAATCTCTCCTATCACTACCCTATTTCAGGTCATAAAGTGCTTACATAGATTTCTATTACAGTAATTATAACACTACTTCAGATCAACAGCAAATCGAAGGAATGATGGTGACAGGACAGCAAGTGTTTTGGGTATATTATTTCATTACAGTCTTACTTCAGCTCTATAAGGAAATGCTGTATAACTTTTTTGGGTATGGAGGGGCAGGTACTGAGATTGAACCCAGGGCCTTATCACTGAGCTACATCCCTAGCCCTTTTTAAAATTTTTATTTTGATTCAGAGCCTCACGAAAGTGTCCACGCTGAGTTCAAACCAGCAATCCTGCCTCACCTTGCCCTAGTGCTGGGATTACCGATTGAGTATCTTCTATCATATACCTAAAAAGCTGAAATCACCTACCCAAGATCACAGTTCCTAGGACCCTGAATGTCTGTCCCTGAACATGTGCTTTTTAATCCTTTCGGGGAGCATCTGACAGGTTTTTTTGTATCTTCCCGTAACCATCAGGAGACTCTAACACAGGAGGTCCACACTGAGCAACGAACAGGTGCTGGGAAGTACCAGGTAAAGGAACTCATTTCTCCTGCGTAGACAGAGTGGCTTTTCCCCACTCCAGTCTCTCACATCCCTCCAGGAAGGTGCTCCTGCAGGCATCCCATTGCTCAGGTTCTGGAACCGCACATGCACACGTCACAATTCCACAAATTCCCCTTCACTCCCCGCTTAGCTTGGAGAAGCAGGAGGTTTGCAACCTGGAAAAATCCCCACCAGGGATGAAAACATCATCCCTTCTTTTCCTTATTTACTCACTATCAAAAGGTCAATTCCTATGGCTACGTACTTAATCAAAGAGATCAGTACACTTCCCAAAGGTGGTGAACTTTTTTTAATATGTAGCTACAAGCGACAAATGTCAAAGCAAACAAAAGAACAGTGAATCAAGGAGAGACTGTCTTCAAAAATGCCAGCTCCTCAAGATGCTCACCTGGTGATATGGCCCGTATAGTGCTTGCAGCAGCAGTCATTGATGAGGTCACAGTCTTGCCTGAAACAGGAAAATGCACGGGCCATCTTAATGACATGTTATCAGCTCACTTATGTTATCAACGAACATTATACACTGGATTCTTTGTGCTTGTGCGTGCATGCGTGTGTGCGTGTGTGCGTGCACATGCTGGGGCTCGAACCCAGGGCCCTGTGCATGCTAAGTGATCAGTCTGTTACTAAGCTATACCCCAGGTGACATACTAGATTCTGGAAGAAATTTCCAGAGTTTTCTCCAGGAAAAACTATTTTATAATTTTTATCTTCATATACACTTCGGTTCTACTTAAGATTTCTTATGAGTTTCTGAGTATAGCATTTGCTAGAATCCTCTGCCATGTCTAGCAAATGTTCCAGAATAAAGAGAATAGTGATGAACTGAGTCTCCCGTTCAAATAGAATCTACACTTAAAAACTATAAAATTTAAAAGCTGTATGAGAAACATTAAATATTATTGTTCTTTACCTTCTAAATGCAATGAATTGTGATGTTTTTGCACTTTTAAAGTCATTTTCTTGCAGTAAAGCCTTAACCGCAGAATATAAATCTGATAATTCAAGAGAAAAAAGTTAACATAAAAAATATTTCAAATGAGAACTTCATGCAGAATTCCTCCTAAGAATCCCAGGGAAAGTATCTCACCACATGGAATACAAATCCACTTCCTTCCCTACCCAGGTTAGAGGACCAGGACGGGCCATGGAGAACAGGGTTCCAAATATTCATGATCAATAGAGACATCAACCAAGGGCCAGACCTCCTAATTTGCCATACACTCACCATATATATCCACTGATCATTTGTGAACGCTGAAGTCAAGAACTAAGCAAGCACACAAAATATGTTGAATTCCTAATAGAAAACTTTACTCCCTGTGGTACTACCACTACTACTGAGTTTGAATTTGAGAATCTCTATGCTTTCTCTCATTTAATATTCTCAACAACCATACACGGTAGGTATTATATCCAGAGCTGATAGTCACCTGATACTTACCAGTATACGATACAGAGATACTTCTCTATTGGCTGGAAAGTATCACTAACACCCCAAGACCACAAAGCCCAACCAATCTACCGTCCCAGCCTTTTCCTCTTTCCCCCAGACGTCCCCATGACTGAGCCACTAAAACATTAGCTCTTGCACAGAGGAGCCAATGGGGCTCCTGCCTACCAGCCCGTAAGCAGTTTGGCCATTTATTCGGTCCATATTACGAATGTGAAAATGAAAGCTCATGGTGGCAGTTCTTCAGTGGAGCAGGGCGGCTGACTTCCTTTTTAGATCTCAGATGACTGACCGAGTGACACGCACGGGCTTCTTCCTTCATGCCAGCGTACTGACAAGCAGGCTCTGTCTAATCCCACAGCAATAACACAGAAAGGTAACCATTTCTCAAGAGAAAAAGAATATAATAGAAATCCGGGGAGAAACTCCCAGGCTCTTGTGTATTTCACTAGTAGCAGATGAATCATAAGGGAATTTAAAAGCCCAGACATTGTGATGCTCTGCTGTAAGAGGGCTAAGTTGCTTACTGAACCATTCATTCATGTATTCACGCATTCATTTTGATGAAGACAGGATTATCTCTAGAAAATGGCTAAAAGTAAGCTTGCCTCCTACCCAACTCTTGGTTTGCTCAAACAAAAACTTTCAAAGGTCTCCCAAAATACTGTCTGCATTTACATACACAGGATTGTGCTGTTTATACCTTGCTTTTTCACCCTCTGTATCATGTAGATCAGTATTTATTTCATTGGCTCTAAGGCATACATACATACATTTTAGCATCTCTGCGATTCTAGTTCAGGCATGAATCCTGTTTTAGGGCTCTGTACTTTGCAATAATGGGTATAATCTACTTTGAAAGTCATTTAATTATTAATAAAGAAGTACTACATGCCTCTCCAAGGCACATTTACCCAATTTTCCTAAAGAAGGGACTAATTTTCCAGCAGAAGTTTTTAATTAAGATATACAATCAGAGCACGGCGCACGCTGCAGCGGGGACCAGCCGGCAGTGCGGGAAAGTCCGAAGCACCAGTGAGAACAGCAGCCAGCGGCGGTGAGCGAGGCGACCCAGAGCCACGCTCCGAGCACAGACACGCACAGGAGCGCCGGCAGGGCCGCTGCTGCGTTTCAAAGGGCTCAGGGCAAACTCCAGCGGCAGAACGTCCCGGGATGCTTCACTACCAACACGCGAGGTGGAGTGAGGGAAGAGCCGTCCGGTCACAGTAGACTGCGGGCAGTGGGGAGCACAGTAAGGGGAATTCTGCTGAGAGCTAGGACCTGGGACTGGAGACTTCGCCCCAGTGGCCACCAGAAGCCAGTCTTAGCCCTAAACACAAAGGACTGGAAGCATCCCCCTGGTCTGAGGCCAGCAGAATGGCTCCTGTCCAGCAGCATAAGGAAGCGAGCAACCTGGGTCTGCAGCAGAACAAGGGCGATGCCCTGCCCGACGACCAGCGTTGTACGAGGTGTCAGTGGTGTGGAGCAGAGGGAGACAGGGAAGGTCCAGAAGGAGCCAACAGTGCACAGGTGTGGGAGCAACCCCAGGTTTTCTCCACCAGAAGGCCCCACAGCCAGTGGGAGAGGGCAGTGGAGACAATCACAGAATGGAGAAGTGGACATCCAGAGCACTAAGGCCAGTGCCACCCCCCCAAATCCAGAGGCCAAGATCAGTCCCATACCCAGCACAAATCCTACTGCAAACCTCGGATCACACAGCACATTTCTGGGATCCAACTTGGACACGACCTCATCTCATCCTTAATAAATTGGTAATTGGGATAAACACAAAAATCAAGAACCACCTGTACTTAAAAGACATCCCTGAGGAACAATCATTTCCTACAGAAGCCTCGGTACCAGTGATGAAGCTATCTACCATAAAAAATTAACAAGCATCAACACAGAAAACAAAATAAAACAAAAAACAGAAAATGACAAGTCACAAAATCAAAATGCAACCCCAGACCTCCAACCCACCTAGGAAAAGTCCAGAGCACAGTGAGATAGAGGAAATTGGAAGCCACCCACTGGAACTGTCTGAAATGATAGCAGCAGAAGTGAAAAAACAAATGGATGAGGTTAGAGAAAAAATAATCTCTCAGGTAAAAAAAAGAAGTGACAATCAAAATGCAAAACATTAGACCAAACACAGATTTTAAAAAAAAATACAGAAGATTAGGAAAATGATGAAAACGAAGAATGTCCAACATAGGAAAGAAACAAAATTCATGGCCAGATCCAAACAGAAATTCAGGAAATTAAAAGCTCCACTGAAAGTATATACAACAGACTGAATGGAGGCAAGGATAGGATATCAGATCTAGAAGACAGGATTGCAGCTGGGGGCCGCAAAAAGAACGATACCTTAAAAACAGCAAGAGAACATGAGAAATCAATCCAACAGGTACAAGACGAAGCAAACCACAACATAAGATTGATTGGACTCAATGAAAAGCCAGAGATAGCACAAATGACATAAAAAAACTCCTCACAGAAGTAATGGCAGAAAACTTCCCAAACATGGATAAAGAATTTGACATACAAATAAATGAAACATATACAACTCCAAGTAGCCATGACCAAAAGAAATCTATTCCAAGGCATATAATAACCAAGATTCTGGAAATTCAGTACAAAAACAGAACATTAAAAGCAGTTAGAGAAAAGCAACAAATCACCCATAAAGGGAAGCCCATCAGAATCACAGCAGATTTCTCGACACAAACCCTCTAACTAATAAGTGAGGTATTTCAAGACCTAAAAGAAAACAACCTTCAACTCAAATTATGTACCCTGCAAAACTACCTTTCAAAATCAATGGAGAAATAAGACACTTTTATGACAAGGAACAACAACAAACAAGCTCTCCAAAAATTCTCTCAAGAATATTTTAGGAAGATAAAATAAAGACCATAATTACAAAAACACCAATACAAAAAGCCACCAGGAGGGGCAAGCAATTAAACAGAAGGGAAAAACAGGGAATCAACAACAGGAAAATAATACGAGAAGGTAAGCTAATACATATCAATTACAACCATCAATGTAAATGGTCTCCATTCACCAATCAAAACAGACTGGCAGAAGGATGAAGAGGCAAGATCCAATACTATTTTGCATAGAAGAAATATATTTAACTCAAAAAGAAATTCACAGACTAAAAGTCAAATGATGGAAAACAATACTCCATGTGACAGGAACCCAGAAAAAAGCAAGGGTAGCTATTCTATTTGCCAACAAAATGAACTTCAAGCCAAGACTGGTCAAAATAGACAAAGAAGGTCACTCTATACTTGTTAAGGGAAAACTCCAAGAAGAAGAGATAACAGTCATAAACACATATGCAACGAATTCTGCTGTGCCCAACTACATAAAACAATTATTAATGGACATGAAAAATCAAATAAGCGTTAACCCAACTGAAATTGGACCTTAATACCTCACTGTCACAAACAGATCAACTAGACAAAAAAATCCACAAAGAAATACCAGAACTAAACCAAATCTGTGAACAAATGGACTCTACATTTCTACCAAGTGTTCCACCCCACAACACCAGAATACACATTGTTTTCAGCTGCACATGGGATGTTCTACAAAACAGACCACATACTAGCCCAGAGATCATGCTTAAGTAAATACAGAGGAACTGAAATTATCCTGTGTACATTATCTGACCATAGTGCAATGAAAATGGAAATCAGTGGCAAAAAGAAACTACAAAAACTACATAAATACATGGAAATTAAATACCCTCCTGAATAATCAATGGGTCACAGAAGAAATTAAACAGTATCTACAATTAAATGAAAATGCCAATACAACATACCAGCACTTATGGGTCCCAATGAAAACTGTCCTACAAGGGAGTTACAGTGGTGAGTTCTTACATCAGGAAAACAGAACAAGATCAAATAAACAACTTAATACTGAACCTCAAACTTATAAAAAAATCAAGCCCAAAGCTCGTATGAGGGAGGAAATTATAAAGAGCAGAAAATAGTGCAATTAAGACAAGAAAACAATACAAAGAATCCATGAATCAAAGAGTAGGTTCTTTGAAAGATTAAATAAAATTGACAAACCCTTAGCCAACCTTTTCAAAATGAGGAAAGAAAAGATTCAAATCCATGCAACTAGGAACAGAAAGCGATTCTATTCAGATTCTGCAGAAATCCAAAGGATGATCAATACCTACTTCTGTTACAGCAGGCAGCCAAAATCACTCACAGAGACCAGAGTAGGAACAAGCAGGGTTTTATCTAGTGCACATGGCCAATACCCCAGCTGTTGCCAGTCAGAGGCATTGACTGCAATGGTAGGGAAACAGTGGTTTATATAGTAGTTGGCCCAGTTTTTAAAAATAGCTGGTGAAAAAATAAAATAAAAAAATAACAAAAATAAATATAGCTGCTGATTTGCAGAAAGGCGGAGTACAGTGTTTATCTAATCACACTGTGATAGTCATAGTTATGAGTCATTACAGCATTTGTCTGAAACAGCATTTTATGGAAGAGAAGCTGCTCACAAGTGGAAACTGCTTAACACATGGTTTGGAGAACAAGAGTGAGTTCATCTAAAGTTCAAGGGAGTTTAAGTGATTTTAAAATGAAATTCTACAAGGTAAATGGGGTCCCTCTGTCCCTAACACTTTAAGAACCTGTACTCTAACAAGATGGAAAGCACAGAAGAAATGGACAGAGTCCTAGATGCACATGAACTGCCAAAATTGAAACAAGAAGATATAAAAATTCTAAATAACCCAATATCAGTCAATGAAGTTGAAAATCTAATTAAAAACCTACCTACAAAGAAAAGACTGGTCCTGATGAATTCACTGTTGAATTCCACAAGAAATTTAGAGAAGATCTAATCCCACTAATGCTGAAACTCTTCAAAGAAATTGAAAGGGAAGCAATACTTCCAAAAATCATTTCTTCCAGGAAGTATTACCCCAATACCACAACCAGATAAGGACCCAACCAAAAAATAAAACTACAGGCCAAGCACCCTGATGAACACAGGTGCAAAGCCCTCAATAAAATACTGGCAATGCAGGGACGGTTCAACACAGGCAAATGAATAAAGTAACACACCTTATCAACAGAGCCAAAGACAAAAATCACATGACCAGCTCAACAGACACAGAAAAAGCATTTGACAAAGTCTAATACCCATTCATGATAAAAACCCTACAAAAATTGGAATAGATGGTCTTTTTCTCAATCTGATAAAAGCCGTCTATGACAAACCAACAGCCAACATCGTACCAAGTGGTCAAAAACTGAAAGCTTTCACTCTAAAATCAGGAACAAGACAAGGATGTCCACTGTCACCACTCCTTTTCAACACAGTTCTGGAAACATTAGCCAGAGCAATTAGACAAGAAAAAGAGATAAAAGGAATAAGGATAGGAAAGGAAGAAATTAAATTTTCATTATTTGTGAATGACATGACACTCTATCTAGAAGACACCCAAAACCACACTAAAAGACTGTAGATTTAATAACCAAAGTCATTGATGAGGCTGACTCAAAATTCAGTAACACTCTTATACACAAACAACAAACTCACTGAAAGAAAAATAAGGGGAACCACACCTTTCACAATAGCATCCAAAAAAAATGAAATACTTACAAATCTACCAAAGGAAGTAAAAGATCTATCCACTGAAAATTACAATACTCTGAAAAAGGAGATTCAAAAGGATATCAGAAGACAGAAAGATATCCCTATCTCATGGATAGGAAGAACCAACATAGTCAAAATGGCCATATTCCCAAAATTGTTATACAGATTTAATGCAAACACAATCAAAATACCACTAGGATACATCACAGAACTAGAGAAAACATTCCTAAAATTTATTTGGAACCAGAAGAGTCCTAGAACAGCAAAAACAATTCTCAGCAACAAAGGTAAGGCAGGGGGCATCACAATCCCTGACTTGAAATTATACTACAAAGCTACTGTGATAAAAACAGCATGGTACTGGCAAAAAATAGACCTGAGGATCAAGGGAACAGATTAGAAGATGCAGACACAACTCCAAACACACTCAGCCACCTTATCTTTGACAAAGGGGCCAAATACATTCACTGGAAGAAACACAGCCTCCTGAATAACTGGTGCTGGAAAAACCGGCTTTCCACACGCCGAAGACTGAAACTAGACCCGTGCCGATCAGCATACACTAAACTAAAGTCAAAATGGGTCAAAGATTTACATATTAAGACAGAAACACTAAATCAGCCGAAAGAGGCTGAGCAGGCAGAACTCTTGCAGACGTAAGTGCAGGCAAAGATTCCATGAACAAACCCCAGTCACACAGGAACCATCACAAAGAATCAACCACTGGGAACTCATCCTATTAGGAAGCTTTTGCGCAACAAAAGGAATCACCAACAGAGCACAAAAGACAACTCACAGAGTGGAAAAAAATTTTAGCCAGTTGTCCCCCAGACAAAGAACTTATACCCAGAACACATAATGGACCAAAAAACAGAAAACAAAAAAATCAGACTCCCCAAATTTAAAGACTAAATCCAAACACGGGCATCTGAGATGAATACACACTTCTCAGATGAAGAAATACAAATGGCAAATAAATATAGAAGAAATGGTCAACACCATTGGTCATTCAAGAAATGCAAATTAAAACAACCCTGAGATTCCATCTCACCCCAGAAAGAATGACTATCATCAAGAAATCAACCAGTAACAAGTGCTGGCGAGGCTGTGGAGAAAAAGGAACCCCCCTCCACTGTTGGTGGGAATGTAGACTGGTGAAACCACTGTAGAAATCAGTATGGATAATCCTCAAAAAACTAGGATTAGAGGTCCCATTTGACCCAGCTATTCCCCTTATGGGTATCTTCTCAGAAGGTTTAAATATCAGACCACAGCTATATGGGTTTACCCATGTTTATAGCAGCACAGACTCTAATAGCTAAATTCTGGAAATAATCCAAATGCCCATCAACCAAGGAAAGGATAAAAAAGATGTGCTTTTTTAATACAATGGAGTACTACTCAGCCATAAAGAAGGATAAACCTGAGACAGTTCTAGGTAAATGGATGCACTTTGAGACCACTTAAGTGAAATAAATTAGACATACATGTAAATATAGCATTGTCTCCCTGGTGTGAGAATCTGAAAGAGTAAATAAGGACCAAAATACACAATAGATATTGTGAAATAGGAAGAAAGTGTTCAAAAAGAAAGAGGAATTAGGACAGGGAAGGGAAGAAGGAAAAAGGGGGGGAAAAGGATAAAATGGAAACAAAGCTTTGCAAATAGGGAGGGGTTGAAGGGAGGGGAAGGGATTGGGAAAAAAGGAATCAAACCATATCATGCACAGGTACAAGTTCTCTATGATGAATATGATCATTATATATATATATCTAAATTGTACCAACAAAATTAATCAAATTTAAAAAGATATACAATCAGCGTCAGCTATGCTCTGCTACCATTTGAAATGGATAACCTTCTTTTTCTTTTCAAAGCACATTCCCATGGACATGAAGAGTGGGTACCAGAGGGCTGGGGACGTAGTTTAGTGGCACAGCACTCGCCTAATATCTGCAAGGCCCTAGGTTCCATCCCCAGCACAACAAAAAAAAAAAGAAATGGGTACCAGAAATATGGCAAAATAAACTAATACTATTTTAGGCAGAGCTAAATGGAGTGGTAAAAAAGCTATACTTAACTGTCTAAACCTTGTTGTCCCTCTATAATAGTAACCCCCCATCAACTAAACTATTGTGGGAATAAATATTAGTTATTTTTATAACATATTTTTAAAAAATCAAGACAAAATGGTTTGCAGCTTATACTCCAATTTACATAAAGCTGAAATAAATAATATATATTTACATATAGACACTTAAGTTTTAAAAGTATAACTATACCAAGCTTTCACTAGGTACAGGACCTTTGTGGGATTTTTAGAGGGAAAGAGACTAACAAAGATGACAAGAGAAGATTAATTTCTACTTCAAATCATTCAGTGTCACTTAATTTCTTAAAATAATTTAAACAATTTCTATAGTCAGGAAACCATGTCACACATTATATGTTATATGTTCCCATGTACTGAAAAACATACTGCAACACAGCAATGATCACCGACCCAAGGGAGGTAAGGCTGGTGACACAAGCAAAGAGAAAAATGCTTTAAAATTCTGCAAACTGCATGTCATTTCGTGTCATACACAGTGAAAGTGTTTAGTGGGGAGAGTCTCCCTGTGAGAACTGTGGCAATTACAATAAAGCCTCAGTAATAATCTTTGATGTCTTTACCAAGTCAATTTTGAGTAAATTACACTAATTTTTAAAAGTATGCTCGCAGTTTTTAAAGCAAGTGACAACTGTAGTATGTTTACTCTATTTACATAATAGAGTAATTCTATTCATCTATAATTCATCTGCAGTGGCTCATTTAATGGCACCTACACTTCACATGAAACTTTATATTGTGCCTCGAGGGTGTCCTCGACCTTCACAGGAGTCCCACTTCACACGGCTGAGCAACACGGCACACGGCACACGGCATGAGCTCGAGGAAGAAAACTAAAACCACTCCCTCTGAGCCCGAGAGGCGGTCACTGCCGGCCGTAATGAGAAGCAGTGCGTGTCCACTTTATAAAGCAGAATTATCAGGAATGCAACAAGTTTGACAACTTTTGTTTCACAAATGTACTCCACGTATCTGCTCTACAAACTGCGCTAAAAAATTTTCATTCACTAAAATGTGCTCTCATCACAGCGAACTTGGATTGCTGGAGCTTTGCTCTATTTTAAACAAAAGTTCCTACACCCGTTTATTAATTTAACAATTATTTATTGCGTCCTTACTACGGTTTAAAGAGCTTACTTCTTTACAAACTTCTAAGGACATCTGCTTTTGAAGATTTACACATCTACTGATTTATTCACTCATTCATTCCTTCTTTTTCAACGACCCTTTTTTACTGGCAATATTTACCTTTAAGGGCAAGTAGGCAGTAACAAATGAACTTGCAACTAGTCATTTAATAACTATTACAAAACTGAATTATTTAACCTGATATATCATAGAAATTTATATTTACAAAACTTACGATCACTTTGAGACGACTGAGAACTAGCATCCCCTTCTGGGAGTCGGACAAAAATGAATGTCTCATCTTGAATCGAGATGGGGAATGTAGAATTCTCAGAGATATCTAGTTGTAAATCAAATCTTGGAAACTGGCGTTCTGAGATTCTTAAAGATAAAATATAAAACCAAGAGCATTATCATTTAAAAATGTCTTTTCATATAAAAACAATGTAATTATTAACATCTGTTAATAGATAATAGGGAAAAAAATCACCCAGATAAATTACAGACAGAAGATGAGTTTTATAATATAGTTGAAAGGCCGAGAAGTCATGTGCTACATTCAGCACTTAGTCTCCTCTTCCTGAAAAATTAAAAGCATCAAAAACATTATCAGAGAATGCACTATACACCATTCTGAGAACTTGACCTACTTGTCTCCAGACCACTAAAGAACCATAAAAGGCAGGTATAATCCTCATTTCACAAGCAATATGAGGCTTCACCTTTTCCCAAACAAGACTTAACAGACAAGAAAAGAGGGAGGGAGGCTGCTCTTGCTGTGATGGGGACCACTATGAAGCAGACCTGAGCAGAACTTAAATTAACCAAGTGGCTTTCCATGTTCACTTGTGCATCTGTCCAAGGCCTAGGCTCCTTGTCCGGAAATGGCAGACTCATAGTAAGTGAACCTCTGTGAGTCACTAATCCCTACTAAAACCTGTAGTGGTGGATGAAGCCAGAAAGTGTCAAAGGATAAGACAAGATCACAGCCAAGGACACCTGGATCCATCTCAACTAGATAAAGACTAGAGCCTCAGGCATCTCACTCCTAGGTGGGTTAACTTAATACCTTACTTGGAGAAATCTTTGAGTGGTTCTGCTCTTCTTGAGTACTCCCCTCCCTTCTTCTGATAACCAGATAAATACGGGCCACCCAGAGAAGGTCTTGGTCTTAGCCCTGACAGAATCCAGAATCCTGTGAGAGGGCTCTGATCCTCCTGGAGCCCTGAAATCATTCCATTCGCCTCTTTTTATTCAGCCTTCCTCGTACACTCCTTCGGGAGGTTGCGGATGAAATCAGCCCGCAATAACTAATGGATATTATTAACCCGATATTGCTGGAACTATCTCGGAGTTCATTTCCAGAGCTCTGAGAATCACCTTGGACTCCTGCTCTAGTTCTGACCCAGGACATGAAGCACACTTCTCTCCAGCAACTGACCCCCTGTACACTACGGAGGTGCTCACCACCAACAGATCTGAGATGGTGACCAAGATGAAAGGACGGCAGCAGCACAGCATGAATCAAGTGGAACTGAATGTGTTACTAAAAGGAATTCCTGAGTCGCTATAATACTGACTTCTAAGGAGTCTTGATTCTTCCAAGTTTAAGAGACTGTAGCCGCACACAGTGGTGCACGCCTGTAATCTCAGCACTCAGGAGGCTGAGGCAGGAGGATCACTAGGAGTTTGAAGCCAGCCTGGGCTACAAAGTGAGAGTTCAAGGCCAGCCAGAACTGTAGAGTGAGAGTGAGAGAGAGAGAGAGATTTTAAAATGACCAATCATTGCTCAGATACTGGCATGCTTCTACCGTTCTATTTTTTTGTTTGTTTCTCATTTACTCCTCTCTTTAAAATAATTAAATGCATAAATAAATAAATACATAAATAAGTAAAATAAAATGACCAATCATCTACAAACAGAAGAGTTACAGGAAAAGAATATATCACATCCAAATCCATTATTTTTTAATGCCTTAATACAAATCCACATCACGCCCCCATCCCCATTCCCATCAATTCCCCCCTACTGTCCTGTAGATTGTGGCACAGAGAAAAAATGATGTTTAAGCTTTGCTGACATCCAACCAAGGGAACATTCAAGCAACAAAAATATTCTGTAAAAAGACAGTCAAAAACAAAAGCGAATCTTGACACAGTAAAAGTCATGAAATAATAATAACTGTTCTGATTTTTCGGAAGCGTTCTCTCTTTTCTGATACATAAATTATGGAGAAGCGGAACACCTGAGCCCACAGAGGATCACTCCAAAGGCAAAGGCTAAGGGAAGAAAAAGACTCCTGTACTTTAAAAGAAGTATATCCCATGGTGCCACTAGATTCATCCAGCAGTAAAATAACATTACTTTTTTTTTTTTTTTTTTTTTTACTGTGAATTGTCTCTGACAAAAATTAGGGTGAAGCTTTTTCCCAATGCTCCCCTGAATGAGGATGAACCCATTTCCAAATATCCGTTCCCTGTGGGTTTATTCCAATCTTTAAACTTAAGGCAACTTATTCACAGGCAGTTACCCCTTGTGAGCAGTGGGCTACAGGGCTCCCCATGGCATCAAAATCTTCAGATGCTCAAATCCCTTACATAAAATGGTGTAGCATTTGTATATAATCTATACACATCCTCTCATATATTTTAAATCACCTCCATATTTTACGTATACTTAAAATATGCTGTATAAATTGTTGCTATATCACATTGTTTAAGAAATAGTAAGAGGAAAAAATCTGTACATGTTCAGAGCAGATGCAATTATTAATTGCATCAATCCACAGATGTGGAACTCACACATACAGCTGGTGGAATGCACACCAACCAACCATACGCGCACTCTGAATCAGGAAAACACACCCATTCTTAAATTTCAATAATAATTTATGCTGGACCAACAGTGGAAATACTATTATATTTTTCTAACAGTGGGGAAAAGATATATACTTCAAGGAAAGCACAGGTTTGGTAAAAGGTATAAGAAATATATTATACTAAATCGATGATTCAAAAGCTAATATATCTGTACAATGTATCTTACTTTTTGTTTCCAATAGAGACAAAATGCAACATTTTAGTTCTCTTATACCGTGTAGCATTGTCCACAATTAGCTGAGACTCCGCTCTATGGTTGGTCTTCAGCTCAACAGCACACTTCCTTGGCTTAAGGGTATCAAAAAGGTCTTTCAACAGGTTTCCAGGTTCAATGCTGGGTAGCTGTCTAATATCACCTAAAAGGGAAAGAAAATAGATACAGCGGGTAGTGGAGACACTGAAATTCCGAAATTACTTTCACGTATATAATTTAACATCTCTTAATTTTTATTCCCCTTCTTTCCCCTCCCTCCATCCTGTCTCTATATCCCCTTCCCATGTGCAAAACAACTCTCTCCCTGTTTACCATTATTTTTATTTTTTTAATTACTAGTACTTTGTGCAGCTCATATTAGAGAGAAGCTACGCAATACTTAAGCTTGCGCATCTAATTTATTTCACTTGACATTTTGGTCTCAAGGTGCACCCATCCTCCATCTTCAAGTTTATTCCGCAGAGTACCACTTCATTTTGTATCAAGATCCCATTTCGTTTATCCACTCATCTGCTGATGGGTATACAGACCACCTCCAAGATGTAACTACTATCAATTGTGCTGCAATAAACACAGGTATGCGTCTATCACTGTGGTATGATGTCTTTAACTCTCTGGGAAAGACACCTAACGGGAAAATAGCTGACTCAAATGAAATTTCTATTTTTAGTTTTTGAGGAATCTCTACACTGATTTCAACAGTGGTTGAACCACTTTACATCCCCACCAAGAAGGCACAAGGGAGCCTTTGCCCCTGCAGCCTCACCAGCATTTGTTATTTTTTTTTTATATTAGTACATCTGCAGCACATGCAGTTTACGACCATCTCAGGGAGTGAGTACATGTACATAATACAATTTGCTCCTTTACAGTTTCTCAACGATAGCCATTCTTGCTGGACTAAGATGGAATCTCAATTTTTTTGTTGTGTTTTGTTTTTATTCTTTCTCTCTTAGTTGGTTAGTACACGCATGTAGTACGTAATGCTTACATTCATTGTGGGAGGGTGCTACATGTACATGACACACCTTACTTCCTTTTTCTCCCTTCCTCCACCCGTCCCTTGATCCCTTCCTTTTTTCCCTCGCACGTATTTATAGTACATGACATTTACATTCTTTGTGTGGCTGGCACATGTACACCACACATCCTGATTCTTTCTTCACCTCCCGATTCTTTTCCCATCCTGTACCCTTCCCTCCCACCGACCTCGCTCCACCTCTTGATGCCCTTCCTCTTCGAAAATGACCCGTCTGCCTTCACCCTATTATCTTTTATTACCTGTTATTTTGCTCTTTGTTTTCTCTCTGGGTTTCTCATATAAGGGAAAGAATGTGTTATTCTGAATTGTGTGTCTGATTTATTTCACTTAATTTGCAACATCTCTGATGGCCAGAGATACTGAACATTTTTCAGGTGTGTATTGGCTATCTATCCATCTTTTTCTGAAAAGTGTCTATTCATTTCAGTTGCCCATTTTTTTTGACTGGGTCTTTCTTTTGTGGGATCTGATTTCTTTAAATTTCTTTATATATTCTAGATTTAGCATTCTATCAGAGAAGTGGTTTAAACATTCCCATTCTGTAGGTTGTCTCTTCACTCTATTATTTCCTTTGCTATGCAGAATTTTAATCTCATATAATCCCATTTGTGGTTCTTGATGTTATTTCTTATGCAACTGGGGTTCTATTTAGAAAGTCCTTTCCTGTGCCTATATCCTCAAGGGTTCTTTCTACTTATTTTTTTCTTCCAGCAGATTGTTTCTGTTTTAATATTTATGTCTTTGATCTAATTTGATTTCATCTTGGTGCATGGTGACATACAGGTCAGACTGACTCTTTTGCATGTATGTAACCAGCCAGCACCATTTCCTGAAAAGACTATCTTTTCTCCAGCATACAGTTTTGGCTTTTTTGTCAAATATCAGATGACTTCATGTAACTGGGACTGTCTCGTCTTCTATTCTGCCCCACTGATCCGCATGTCAGTTTTGACGTCAGTTTCACGCTGGTTTCATCACTGTAGCTTTGCAGTACAACTTGAACTCCAGATTGTGAAGCCTCCTGTTCTGCTCTTGTTGCCCAGGATTCCTTCTGCAATTTCTTCTGGCTCCACATAAATTTTAGGATAGCTTTCTCTAGATCTGTGAGGAATGCTCTGGGCATTTTCATCGGGAACATATTACATCTACATCGATTTTGATAATATGGCCATTTCGACAATGTTGGTCATGTCTACGGCCATACCACGCTGAACGCACCCGATCTCGTCTGATCTCGGAAGCTAACCAGGGTCGGGCCTGGTTAGTACCTGGCTGGGAGACAATGTTGGTTCTGCCTGGCCAGGAGCCTGTCCATTTTCTGTGGTCTTCAATCTCCCTCTGCAAAGTACTGTAATTTTCATTACAAAGGTTTCTCGCTTCTTTGGGTAAGTTACTTCCAAAGTACTTAATTTTTCCTGATGCTGCTGTGAGTACTATTACCTTCCAATTTCTTCCTCAGGGAGTTCATTATTGGTGTACAGGTACAAAATGCTTTTATTTCTCCCCAAGGATGTATGTTGTAATTTTAGTCTTGCTGTAACTTTGGGGGAAGAAAGCCCCACAATTTTTATTTAAAATTATTCAAGAATACTAACTACTTAAAAATATTTAACAGGGAAAAAAATTCAAATTAAACAGTCTATTTTTAAATTGGTGAAAACACTAAGCTAAGACTATCTGAACTCAGCTTTTTTCCCATCTATAACCACAAGTAAGACATTTAGGGACATATATTTTAGGCAACATGCTTCTCAGAATTGGGTCTTAGTACACAGTATTTAGTCCCTTATTCAATTTTTCTCAGTGTTTTACTGGCCTGGGTCTATAGCCTCAATGAAATAAAATAAATATTTAAGACATAAAATAAATAAACTTAATGAATTTTATAGATACAAGTCCCAGAAATCTACACAATATTTTGCTCTATTATAAATTTTCTGTGCCGGAAACAAATGAAAACAAGCCCCAGAAAAAGGAAAAATAGGTACTGAGTGGAAACAAGGGGAACGCTTAAGCTATTGATAGAATTAATTGCTTATCAAATATCCTCAAATAGCTAAAAAGATAGCGTTTATTTACCATCTGATTATACTTTGATATACAATTTGGTTCTGAAATTACAACTTCAGTTTCTTTCCATTAACTCATACAATCTACACATCACCATAACCCTCTCCAAAAAAAATTTAAGAGACTCTTATCAGAATAATATCTTAACAGGTTGATGAGCTCTCATTTGAGTTATTAGCTTTGAATCATAATATTACTTCTAAGCAGTCTGTAGTTTGCATTTTTTACTATTTCCAAATGGTCTACATCCTAATTTATTCTGAGTCTGTGGTAGTTTTACTGTTTTAGTAGTCATCATTTAGGTGATCATCAGTAATCCTGCTAATATCCTGGCCAAAGCACATCCACTCAAGCTGATTACGACAGTTGTCAGATATAACTCAGTATAGCTTTGGTATGAGTTCAGAGAAGAGCTGTCGACCTTTAGGCAATGGTACCATGAAATTACATCAACAACTTTCTAGCTACAAGGTTTTCAACTAAAGGTTAGAATTCCATCGATATTTTTACTTACCAAGGATAATAAGCTTAGAAAGTTTGGAATGCTCACACAACAACTTTAAGACTGATTTGAAGATTCCTACAGACACCAAACTCCCCTCATCCACAACCAAAACTCTCACTGAGGAAAACTTCCATGGCAAATTCTTCTTCATCAGCTTTTTGTTCCAAAAATAGAAGCTATAATTGACCTATAAGCAAAGTAAGGCACATCTAAAGTCAGGTTACAACAAGTAATTAGCAGCATGTTATTTTTAAATAAAATTCTTGCACGTGGGGTAGGGAGAGATGAGGAGGAGAGAAACACAGAGAAATGGTTAACAAATTGAGAACACAAAAGTTTTAGGGATGAATACACAGAAAAGATAGATCAAATAAGCCTAAAAACAAAAAAGGTCAAAAAGTTCAACAAATTGCTTCCCTAATGGGTTGTTTGTTTCATTTAATAAGTTTCAAACATAGTTCCATTACAAAAATCTCAACAGTCCTATCATTATTTTTTTTTTTTTTTGGTACTGGGAGTCAAACTTGTCCTCATGCTTGCCAGGCAGGTGCTGTGCCCCTGAGCGATATCCCTGGCCCTCACACTGCTATCATTACTATCCAGAGACCCTCCCTATGCTTTTCCACTGCCCACAAAGCTCTTGGCCCTCTGAGCTACTTCAATCCCTTCAGCCTTTTCATCTCTCAACAGTATTATTCTATTCTGGAAACAAAGAGCTGCCTTCCTAACTTAGTAATGAAAATACTACCTTTCTTTTCAAGTATTCTAAACTTCTGACCTCCATGTTTTAAAAACTACCACCAACAATAATTCAACAACACTATCTATTACAGAACTAATACTATTTTTTAAATATAAATGAGGAAAAAATTAACTGTAAAGGTGGAATCAGAGAACACTGAACATTTTAGTGTATAACAGTCCAGAAATAGTTCCATTTCCTAGGTACGGCTCTACATGTAGAATCATTTTTAATGGCATGGTATCACATCGTATCTTTAACTTTTCTACTAAGACTAGATTCAATACTTTCACTAAATAAAGTCTGTATTTGCCATTCCAATGTGTCCACTGCCTTCAACAAAAGCCCCTATTTTCTTAGCGGTCCTGTCTCACAATAGACATCTGGTGGTACCTCTGATCTTTTCCTTTCTTTTACATGATATACACATACATCTACCTTAGAAATGTCCATCTGATAATTCCCACTGCATTTCAAGTGCTACCAACTCAACAGTGGCCCCCTCTACGAGCATCCTGATGATTACAACAGCCTGGTGGACAGGTTTCCCTACTCACCTGTCTGAAATTGGAATGCCAAATTAAATACAAGATACTCAGGTAAATCTGGACTTAAGACAGGGATAAATGACTTTTAGTAACGTTTTCATGGAATGTTTGGTACATAGTTACATTAAAACTTCTTCAAATTTTTCCTGTAAAATCTAGTAACCCTAGTCCAAGGATGATAAATAAGTGGAATAAATATCACTCCAGTGTTCTTCCTCTGCTCTTACTCTTTCCCTCGACCCTAAATGTGGCTTCAAAAATGTTCTCTCAGCCAGGCATGGTGGCGCACGCCTATAATCCCAGCTCATAGGACGCTCAGGCAGGAGGATTACTGCGAGTTCAAGGCCAGTCTGGGCTACAAAGGAAGTTCAAGGCCAACATGAACTACACAGTGAAATCCTGTCTCAAAAAGATGAAAAAAAAAAATTCTCTCAACATCGAAACAAATATTAAGATACCACTAGTGGATCAGAGCTGATGCGTAAGATGGAACTTTCTAATGATCCCTCTCAGGTCTCTTCCCTTCTCATTTGACCCTTCAGGCTAATCAGACATGAAGGCACACTGCAGAAAAGCACCAGCCAATCAGAAGACTCTTCCACCACAAAGCTACACTGAACTCTTCCTGGTCTCCACTCATTCTTGTGATACATAAAAATAATGGCAAAACAATTTTTGAGTGGCTGGAGGCCTAGGACTCTACGTAATCTTCCTTAGAATGACTTTATCTTGCTGTCTTGCTTGTGAACCTAAATAGCTCCCTAGTAAATCAATTTCAAGTTGCACCATTAGTTACGCAAGATCTGTGATAAATGAGGGAATTGTGGCCCTCTGAGAAAACAGTAAGCTGGGAGATCAGAAATCTCAATTCAAATTCTAGTTCTGAGCCAACTGAGCTCTGAACCGGTTGTTAAACACCCCCAGCCTCCCCCAAGCCTCAACTGGCTCTTTGATAAAAACCAGGATCACATCACCTGCCCACTGGTTTATCAAAGACTTAATGAGATCGTATCAAAAAATTTTACTAACTTTAAAATTGGAATTCCCTGTCTAAGCCAAGCTTAATTTCCATCATTGTGAAACACACAACTGCACTGCAATCAATAAAATCACCTCAAGACTCCCTACGCACACTGTGATCGTTCTCCTCAGCACCTCTGGAAAGACGTTCCCCCAAATAAAATGCCCTTCTCCTTCCATGAGTCACTGTGACTGTCACAATCCTTCAGAAATCTCCCAACTACCAAGTCCCTTTATTATAAAATGGCAGGTCAGGAGTAGGGAAAACTCTACAACTCTTTACAAGTCTAAACTCTATTACTCTTAATCACAGACAACAGGATTTTTTCAAGAATATTAGTTCATTTGAAATATACAGTGTGAGACTATGCCTGGCACCATCGTCCACAGAAAAGATAACGCACGATACCACATGATCGAAGCCCTCATCTCCATAGAGTTTTCATTGTACAAAGTAGAATCTTTTTCTTCCATCTCCAGCGTTACTCAGAATAGTCTGTGGGCATGTTATGTGTCCGCAAACAGTCCCCAAGAGGAATCCATACTGTGCCAGGATCTAAATTAACCAGAGTATTAGGCGTGTACTCTCACTTACCTGACATGTTTTTAGTAAGAATTTTCTCAGTGAAGAAAGCATGTACTGACTTCCTGGCACTAGCACCACTACCACTGCACACTAGTAAGTTTGCAGTCCAGCTGTTTTGAGTAAAAGGATCGAAATGACTACATACAGGTCCGCCCTTAACCACTGGGAACAGGTTCCGAGGTCCCCAGTGGACACCTGGAAGCACAGATAGTACCAAACCTTCTATATAAGCACTGTAACGCTGGGACAGTCTATCTGATAACACGGACAGGCAGGCAGGTAGTGCGTGGATGCCCTGGACAAAGACATTCCTCCATCCCAAGTGGGACAGGTGGGACAGCATGAGATTTCAGATCTCATCACACCGCTCAGAATAGCACACAATGTAAAACTCATGAACATTTACTTCCCACTTAAGATTCTCAGATCTCAGGTGACAGCAGGTTAGTGAAAATGCAGAAACCAAAGCTCTCGATGAGGGAGATATTGTATGTACTGGCGGTTGAAGGAAGCGTAAGTTTATCTGCAGACAACATGCCACAGGTTTTACCTGGCACAGTGTATAAGCAGGAAGGCTCGTTTTCTCTCTCAGTAAACCAGCTGCTTTCCCTGTAGGTGCTGTCAGCAAAACTTCTATAGGCTTGTCTACTCCCTGCTGACCTTGTTCAGTAAAGGTGATCCACTCCTCGGGGACATTCTGATCCTGTTCAAAATCTTCACAAGCTTTTTGCACTTCTCTTTCCTCTAACTGCCCTATGTACTTAAAAAGATGGCTAACGATCGTGGTCTTCCCACAGCCACCCTTCCCGCTAATGACTGTCACAGCATTGGAGCAGATCATTTCCAAAGCGGCCACCTGATCATAATCCAGCTGGACTTCATTCATTTCTGCATTAGTATCATTGTCATCATCCCAAATACCATCACCACTGTCCTGTAGTTCCAAAACGCCTATAGAATTTTCTAATCTTACTTCATCAGGTTTACTTTCCTTCAGTGTGTCCTTGCTTCTTGAGTCCCTGGGTTTTGTGGGGTGTATAGATGCCAGCACCTTCCTGACATCGACGTGCAAATGCCACGGAGGTCTCATCATGAGGTCACCTATTAAAGAGGCAATGATTCTTTCTGCCTGGTAAAGTTCATAGAGAAAGACACAGTCCTTCTGAAATGTCACCACACCGATGTCCCTCAGAAACTCCAGAGACCGCCAAACATCGCAACGCACTAGCGAAGTCAAGGACGCTTGCTCAGCATACGTGTGCCCGTGTTCTCTGCACATCTGCTTCAGTTTAGAATACAATTCCAATGCATTTTTCTCCACATCGGTCATCAGCTGGAGAAGAGATGGGCACTGGGACAAGACTGCCCAACTTGCCTCACACCGCAAAAGCTTCAAGTCTCTGTAAGTTATCTGTAAGAAAATACAGTGCAAGCTGCTTTATAAGTATGGACAAATATCACTAGAATCACACTGAACATTACATATTTTTAACAATTAAGTCCCAGAAAACTTTATTTCAACTAAAGTATGAGGGACACTACTCATATTCAGGTATTCCTCGCTCCATGACCTGTTTGATGACTACTCAGGCTTATAATTAAGCCGTGCTGTTTGGAATTATCCGCCGCTCAAACTCAAAATCTTTTTCGTTTTTTTTTTTTTTGTGGACAGTTCTGCACATCTTGTTACAGAGCCTCAATGTCTCTTTTGCACAGTATCCCTTGTTTATGCAGCACTGTAATTTCTGCCGATTGTCCTGTACACTTCCGTCAGTGCAGCGTTACAGTGTCATGTTCCGTTATAGGTTACAGCACGGCACGTGAGAGTTATACAAGTAACGGCAGAATCATCAAGTTGCGCGTCCTCCGACCACTTCTTTGTTCTGAATATTTCACTGTGCACTGTATACACGACTCGTCATTCAGTGACCAATCCATTTAACATCCCAGTTGTGGGAACTGAACCATGTCACTGAGCAAGGAGTATCTGTACGAAAAACACATTAATTTTTTATACAATTTATTCTTGAAATGTGGACAGGTACAATTTTTTAGATCTCTAAAGCTCTCCTTCTGTTTGGAAAGAATGTACATTTCACAGGGATTCTTTTTTAAACCAAAAGGTAAACTACTGTCTGCCTCTGACATCGCAGAGGTCTGTCTCCCGTCGCCATGGAATAAATATAGGATAGTCTGATGTTTCAGAATCTTGTCTTTTAAAGTGCGGTGACTATATGGTAATACCACGTAAGGAACAAACTGCTCAGGGTTTCTGCACACTGGGTATCTGTAAATACTCCTGAGTCCAATCATTATCACAAAATGTCTCAGTACTTTTTCATTTAGAAAACCGCCTTCACTCAAGCACCATACTACCGAGGTTTGGGTACCATATTCGGTTTCAGTATCGGGAGCCTCAGACAGACCCACTTTCCTACTCTTGGTCTCTGATAACAAGAACCAAAGCAGACTCAGTTGTAAATGATGTCATGACACCATCTAAAAGTCCAATATCATCACATTCTACACAAATAATGACAGCTTTTAAAAGTATGAGTCTGCATTGCATAGCAGCAGAAAGCACTTACCGAATGCATAAGGACTTTTGTCACCGTGAGATCTCTATTTGAGTTACAAATGAAAATCTAGTTGCAAAACAATGTCTCTTGTATAACATTAAATTAGATAATTGTATTAATTGTGATAATCTAAATATCATCCATTTTATTATTCTGGTTTTCATTTATACATCTATTTACTTTATAGCTACATACAGGCAGAAAAAGTCTATGTGTGTTTACTTGTAATACTCCAAAAGTGAACACTATGGAGAGCCATACAAAAAATGTTTCCGCTGAGAGACATACCAAAATTATCAAATTTAGCCAAGCGTGGCGGTGCACACCTGTAATTCCAGAACTCAAAAGGCTGAGACAGGAGGATCACCATGAGTTCAAGGCCAGGCTGGGCTATATAGTGAATTCAAGGCCAGCCTAAAATACATAGCAAGACCCTGCCTCAAAAAACAAAACAAAACAAAACAAAAAAATTGCCGAATCTGAGAAACTCTGTCTTACGTAAGATTATAAAATGTTGAACAAATATCTTACTTACTCTACTAAATCCCAGCTTCCACGGCTGCGTACCTAAGATCTCTTCGATGGCTTCCAACAGCTCCTCAGAGCCTGTGCTGATGAGCTGGCCAAAGTGTCGCGGCAACAGAACTGGAAGGAATTCCATGATTTTGGGAAAGTGCAAAGCTGTCATGACGTTTACAAATGGAACTGCAGGACACCGGAGACACATTAACACATTACACTTAGCTCACAGAATGAAATTCTCTGCCATGTAGCAAGCCAGTTCAAGAAATACAAATTCAAGGATTAAGACGAGGAGTCTCTGTATGAGTAACACATTGATTTTTTATATAATTTATTCTTGAAATGTGGACAAGTATAATTTTTAGATCTCTAATGTTCTCCTTTTAAAATCTTCCATTTCGAAAGAATGTTGCAGAATGTTAAGCAGTAAGAAAATTGATACTGTGACAATTATTTCTGTACTGGAGTGGTTTTCACTGTGTTTAACACCAAAATTATGTCCTGTAAGTGCCTTCCACTGGGATGTCTTGGCCTTTTGTTTCCCTTCACTCACAATATAATCAGAATAAAATTTTAACTCAGTTATATAAAGACAAATTTAAGCCTACGCATAAAAAATAAACCATTTATGTACTAACTTTCATAATCATTCTTCCATAATCAATGGAAAAATTATGATTAATGATAATGGAAGAATTAATCATAATTATGATTAATTTGCCCTGGTCATTTATTGATGTACTGGTAAATTTATCTCATATAACTAAGAAATTAAATATTCTATATATGTATCTGAATGTCCAACTGACAAACCATATTTTAAAATTATTTTAAATGATTTTAGATTGAAATCTTTCCAAAATGGACTGCTCCTGAGCCTTGCCTTTCTCTTCTGTCTTCTTTAAAAGAAAAAAAAACTGAATTCTTAATAGCTGAAAATACTCTCTATGAACATAAACATTAGGCAGAGAGGTGAAGAATCATAACTTTGGAGTTAGGATGGTTCTTCAAAGAGCACCTTATAGAATCCTTCATGCTACGAATGAGGAAACTGCAATGTCCACAACTTACTCAAAAAGCAACATTAACACATTTTCATCAAACTGATTTTAAACAGAAATATTTAGGGTTTTGAATTTTTTAGAACTTAGAATATTTTCACATATATAATGAGATATCTTGGGAATGGGATCCAAGTCTACACACGAAACTCACTTATTTTTCATTCATGCTGTGAACACATACCCTGCAGATGATTTTACACAGTATTTAGTTTATTCATGAAACAAAGTATGCGCAAGTTGAATTATCAAAAAATGTCACTTGTAGCATCAATGTCAAAGATTAGAAAGTTCCAAATTTGGAACAATTTCAAATTTTCAGATGAGAGATGTACAACCTATACTGTGCCGAGATATATAATGATAATATTTTAAACACTCCAGCCGTTGAAAACTTTCAACTATACTAAAAGTCCATGACAAAATCATACTTACTTTGCTTTTCCATTGGGAGGCTTATTTCATTTTCTGGTAATAACTCCTGTTGCTCCTTCTGTCCAAATTGTTTTTTATCTTTCTTTCTGATTTCCTTGTAGAAAGTCTGTAGTGTTTCCTTAAGATTTTCAAAGCTGAGGTTTTCATAGCTTGATACCTTTTTTACCCATGCTAAAAACTGATTTACCTCCTCACAGGGGACCCCACACTCTTTAAGAAAGAGAGAACAGATAGCTTTTTGATCTGGTGGCGACATGTTGGATCGTAAAAAGTACGATGGAAACCCTTGAACTTGATAGTTCCTTGATCCTGCAGGCTTCACCTGTACCTTCACACGCCACCAAGGACCCGTTATTGGGAAACGTCCAACCACTTTACATTGCTCTTGCGTGTTTTCATCATAAATTATAACTGAGAAAAAGAAAGAAGAAAAGAAGTTAATTTAGGCGAGGAAAAATGTTCTTCCCCGTTGTTTTATCATATCCACCATTCTAGTCACCCCACAGCACCTTAAACAGACATTTAACAACCTTAACGCTTCCTTCTGCCTACCTGTTAATCTGGCTCCCTCTACTGGTATGCTGCAAGCTGTCCGTAAGAGGACAATGCTTCATTTGTCTCTGTAGTTCAAAAGGAAAGCAAAGCACATGGCAAATGTCTGCTGTTCCCCTTCTAAAACTAGTTCTCTCTTCGCTACTCTAACTTCAGCCAATACTGGTCTTTGGCCAGTAAAATGTCTTACGAATGTCTTCAAAAACATTCCATAGCGCCTCTGACCACAGGGCCTTTGCACAAGTTGTTCAGAGGGAACAAGCATCTTACTGTTTTATTCCACTCACTTCTGCTTTCAGCTTAATTGTCACTTTCTCAGGATAGCCTTGCCTGAATCTCCCGAATGTAATCTGTCAAAGCATTACATAGTATTCTCTGTAGGTATTTCCCTCAATAAAGAATATCTGTTTACTCACTAGAGGGTGAGCTTCATTAAGATGGTAAACTCATGATTTCACCTTTCTGGGGCATTATTGCACCACACGCTTGGAACCTGACAACCAGCTGACAGTACTTCAGAAAGAATAAGCAAACTCTCCACAAATACTGGAAAATTTTCTGTCTAAACCTGCACTGTCTACCTGCATGTAGCGATTCACATCAAGACTTAAATGAAATAAAACTTAAAATTCAGCTCCTCGGTTGCACTAGCTGCATTTCAAGTTCTAAATATCCACACACGGCTGGTCAGCAGCTATTGCACTGGACAGTGCAAATATAAAACACCACCATCACCAAGCACGGTCCTACTGGACAGCACCAGTCTGCACATTAGAACTAGTTCTAGTTCTCTGAACTAGACCGCTGACCAGCTAGGAAGGCAAAACTCCCCAAGCAGATCTGTTATTCACACCTGCAGGAGCACTGCATCCAACAGGAAGCCAGCAGCTGCCCCACCCAGCTCAACCTGCAGAGGGCTGACTCCATACAAAGCCTCAAGAGACGCGCTGTGCCTGCCAGCGCCCCTGAACCCGATACCACCCTGTCTATCAGCTAGCCCTAAACCCCCTACTCAGAGACCCAACATTTTGCACCCACCTTCCCGACCTAAACTTCCCTACAAAACGGGCTCTCACTCCTTGCTTGGGGCCAATGGCCTTTTCTCCCTCGGCGCGGCTGCACCTGGTCTGCAACAAATCCTTGCACGTTGATCACACTCTGCCTGCCTCAGTGGCCTCAACTGTGCCTCGGTTTACCGTAACAAAAATAATCTTAAATCCCAGTCATAGCATCCACACGACAGGTATAACTCACAGCACAGAAAATCACACAAAGTTAATAAGAATCACTAGGCTATTGACACAAGGTTAACAAATGAATAAAACAATGAGGGGTCCCTTGTGATTTCTTCCTTTTTTGTTGTTTGCTCGGTTTTTTGTTTGTTTGTTTGTGAGCTTGTTGGGACAAGCTCTTGCTATGCAGTTCAGGCTGGCCTTGAACCCAATTTGTAGCCCCGGCTGGTCTCAAACTCACAGCGATCCTCCTCCCTCATTACAGGTGCCCGGGTCCTTCCTTTCTTAGGAGAGGGAAGGGAAAGTGGGAAGCAGAAGAAAAGAGAGACGAAGCAGAAGCAGGAGAAGCCAGAGAAGGAGAAGCAGGAGGAGGAGATGAAGCAGGAGAAGGAGCCGAAGAAGCATGCTGTAATATGCACATATAACCACTCCATACAGTCATTCCCCAAAACGATTGTAAACTACGTCAACTGCAAACATGCACAAGTAATTTTTTTTTTAAATAGAAGTTTGATTCCCGGCAGAATAGGGTGATAACCAAAAGTCCTGACGCTGGGTAGGAATACAGGATCTACATCCACTGTTTCCTCAACTGTAAAATCATCCCCAGATAACTGTTAACATTAAATTTTACGCACGTCTAAAAGTATGTGCTCAAAGTCACTGCTGTGAATGTTACTTTACGCTCAGCAGGATGAAGCCGCCCGGAGGCCAACACTTGCTCCGCCCCCTCCAGCC